GCCGATGTATCATCTAAATAATGTTGCAAAGTAGGCCACATCTCGGCCAAAACTTGTTTATCAGTTCACTCCTCATCCAGTTTACCGGAAATTATGGGTACTCGGTACTCGTGAGGGTTTCTTGTAACATTGTTTTGAATAAGTTATCGATCACAACTTAATATTCTGAACTTCTCTTACTGAATAAATTAATCAGCACGCTGAATTTCACATTTTGGGCTTTACAATATGAGTCGTGCAATAATTAAGACTCGCTCGCTGCATGCGGTTATAGTCGGACGTGTTTATTTTTTCTAACGGGAACTAATTTAAATTACTCTTTATGCAAAGTTACATACATATCGTCGGCGATAGTGCAATTACGCGTAACTAGCATTTGATTATGAGTTTCCATTTCGGTAATTTAGTGGCCAAATGTCGTGGCAACCAAATTAGCGTGATTTACGGGAATCTATTGTTATTAGTCCGTAGTAAACATAAATTAATGCTTGCTGTGCAAAAATGGAGGTCGTAGCCATTGAAATCACAAAATAATAACTTTAAATCCCTCTCCTGTGAAATTTGGTTTGGTGGAGATACGCGCTTTTTACCAATACTACATACGCAGATGTGCCACTATCCCGACGACATAGTACAACACAGACACCGTATGTTTAGTATAAACTCTGCTTGCCGGTCTAATGCAGCAAGCGAATAGTTGTAGGTGAAGCAGTAGAAGTCGAGTCGTCATCCCTTTTGTTCTTTTGTTTTAACTGTTCGCTTATATTTGTTTATGTGTTTTGTAGACAAATAAATGTCTTTTTAATTATTTATTATTTATTTATAAGTGGACTAACATTCAGTCTGTAAATACCTACTTTGATTTGTTTTTTGTTAGTAGCACGTTGCATGGTTTTTAACCCCGGAGTTTTCTTTACATTGCGATAGATATTGACCTATCATAATGTAATAACGTTCCCTGAGTAACAATGCTTATAGTTTGGGGATTATTGTACCACATTCAGCTTATGTAGTTTTAAAAATAAGGTTTCATTCAAAATTGGATTTGACAACAGGTCTTTGATTATGAAACCATGCCTCTGGCATTAAATCGTAAAGATTTTTTTTATAATATCAAGTGACGGAACGAACAAATTGTGCGCCTGATGCTAAGCTACACGCCTGTCCGTAACAGTTGCAGTGCCACTCAGAGCTTTAAATCACATAGATCTCAGGGGGCACTGCCACTGCGCCCGTCAACCTGAGACATAAGTTGCCAAGTCCTATGTGCCTGTAATTTCACTAACACCCTTATCCTTCTAAACCGACACGCAGTAATGGTCACATTACCCGTCCTAATAATATGACGAATAACGAGCAAAATCTATTTTCACGGATTTCTACCATAATTGCCTAAGAAATTCATTATAATTTAAAGCCCGCGAGTGAAAGTAAATTCCGTCTATCCCTTTTTTAATTCTGTAAATAACCAATCGTTTCGCAATTGACTTTAGCAGAATCAATTATTAGATTAATACAAAAATATGAATGGCGATTCAATTATTCATTAAATTAGCTTTGCCTAATCATAACTTTAAAGAACAAATTTCAGGTAACGCTTTGAATACCACCAATAGCTAGAAATACTCGAGGCAACATTTTTAAATAAAATATTCTTGAAATATTGTAAAATTAAAAGTTCAATATTTGGTCGCTATTGAAAACTATTATAAAACAGAATTTAAAATTAACGTATAGGACTGGTATGACGTAGTAGACGAGCCCGTGAAAATTTATATGTATGTCCAAAGGTACACTATTATAGTAATAAAACAAACACACATTTCTTGCCAATTATATTTAGCAAATTAGATTTTTTGCAGAGAATTGTTACGTAAATTCACTTGGAAGAAACAATTAAAATTAATACTTCTTGAAAGCGTGTAAATTTAGTTAAAAGTCTACACTGGTTTTGATAAATGCACTAGGGTATACTTATATATATGCTCGTAGCGTAGTTTTGTGACTGTGAAGGTAACCTCGCCAACAAACTGCTTTCGCAGTTTGGCGAGAAATTGTGTTATGTCTTCTTGTATACCTTTTAAAATGAATAAGGTAGTTTTCACTATTTCCCACACAACAAAATTTGCAGAAACTAAAGCAGCAGCGGTGAGAACAAAAATAACACGAAACATATATTTGTAAAGGAAACGTGAAGTAACACAACATCATAGCTGTAATACCAGACACCACTGCTTGGAAATTGGCATCTTTTATAGCCGAATATTGGTCTCATTTGGCGGAGACAACTATTAGATTGGCGACGTGAACATCTGTGCGAGCCGACATTCCTTTATTACATCGAATAAAGCTGCCTGATCACAGAGCACTCTTTCGCAGTGCTACAAATTGAATTTGAAAATACAAAGTGTTCCAAACACGTGCGGCTCAGTGGTGTTTAAACTTTTGTATATCACTCGACGGTGAGACCAATATCGAATTTCAAAAAATAATCTAATCAACCACCAATAGTTAGTAAAACAAACTAAAGACGAAACGAGGTGTAAAACAACATCATATTTAAATTGGTTTCCGATTCTATGAACACCTATTCACAAACCTGAAAAGTGTTACAGACGACGAAACGTTTTATACCCGACTAAAACTCCTTTTATTGGATAATGAATTCTACAGTGTGACATTCTTTTTTGACGGCTTTATATTTCGTCATTATTTTGTGTTTACTCGTATTTTAGTGATGTACTAAATTGTTTTATATTCATTATTATTGCTTATATCATATTAACGATGATACTGTCAGTAGACATTGTAGTTTGACTTTAAAAAAAGGAGGAAGTTCTTTGTGTTTGTTTCGCAATTACTTTGACTTTTGTGAACCGATTTCGATAACCCTTTTCAATGAATATTCCACCACCATTTCAAAAAATACTCCGCCTATAAGCGTGGCAAATTAGGGAATGAATCCGGCTTATTGGACTTTTCGCCCACTCTCCGTTAACCGATTTCAATAAAACTTGACAAATAGATGTAATTGACGGTGAAATTACAGGCACATGGGACTTGCCAACTTATGTTTCAGGTGGTGGGCGCAGTGGCAGTGCCCATGATATCTTTGTGATTGAAAACTGAGTGGCACTGCAACTGTTATGGACAGGCGCACGGTTTCTCGTGCCGTCGTTTGGTATTATTTTTTTTTTAATTTTGTTTTCGTGTAACTTTTCATGTGATGGTGATTGTCAGTGGATATTTCTTAAATTATATTTTGCTATAGCTTTTCTCTCATAGTTTGTGCTAATTTTGTCTTCTTCACTCCATTCTTATACGTTCACACCGTCCACTTCAAATGGGACGCGAAACGTTAATTTAGGTGCTGTCCGAGCACGCTCTACAGTACTGTGTATTTTATATATTTCGAGCCTTTAGTCGACACCAAAAGTATCAATTAATGTAAGGGACAAACCACAATTTTTCAGGACAGCCAAAAAATAATTATATTTTTTTAAATCTGTCTATAACTTTTTACTGTCTGCTCCAATTTTGATTGTGTCTAGAGCAGTACTGTTACTGTGTGTGTAACTGAGTAGTACTGCAACAGTTATGGACAGGCGTGACGCTTACCACCAGGCCCACAAGTTATTCGTCCCGTCAGTTTGTATCACAATAAAAAAATATCCACAAACTTTTGAGGTTGGGTTTTTTCATAATACAGTTATAATTGTAAATTATAATATTGCGACATTGATAATACGAAATATACGTACCAGCGCATAAACAATTACTACGAAGCTGTAGATTACAACTTAGTACATTCGATAATAGAATATAACCTTTCAATTGCAGTCGACCCGTAAGCGACCTTGCGAGCGGTTGTATCAATCAGCTGATCCTTATACGTTTTTGAGTGAAAATCCACAGGTACTCAAACTTTCGCTATGTCTTTTTGCGGTTTATGCGGTGAAAATGTTGGTGACGGAGTACATTGCACATGTTGCAATCGGGAGCTCCACTTCCATTGTGCGGGGATAACCGAGGGAGGCTACAGGAAGCTCGGTGCTGACAGGAAGCAAACTTGGAAGTGCAACAAGTGCAAGCATTCAGGCCTAAATTCGCCGCAGCGCTCTGGTGATTCAGACATCATGGCAGAACTTAAAGCCTTAGCACTCAAATTGGCTCCATTGGACTCGCTTGCTGATGAGGTTAAAGCATTGCGTGCTGAAATATCGGATTTAAGGTCACAAATCACCCTAACAAACACCTCAGTAAAGGAGTTCAGTGACAGATTCCAGAAGGTAGAAGACCGTCTTAAGCATGTTGAAGGGGTTGGAGATCGGGTAGCCGCCATTGAAACCAATTTGAACAAATTGAATCGGGAGACTAATGATAGGGATCAATGGTCACGTATGAATAATGCTGAGATAAAAGGTGTTCCGCAGTCTCAGAATGAAAATCTATTGAACATCATTAGCTCAATGGGAACTACAATAAATTATCCCATTAATAAAGCTCAAATAAACTTCGTTGCCAGAGTTCCGAGTAAGGACAATAGACAACCTAAGCCTATAATCGTGTCATTCAATAGCCGATACGTTAAGGAGGACTTTGTAGCGGCGGCGAGAGCGAAGTCGAAAGATGTGAAACTCAGTGCCAATACCTTTGGTTTTAAGTCAAGCAACATGATTTTCATAAATGATCACCTAACACCATCTAACAAGGACTTGCTTACCAAAACGAAGAAAACGGCCAAGGAAAAGGGTTTTCTCTATGCTTGGGTGAAGCACACGAAAATATATGTGAGAAAAAACGACACGTCTCCAGCTATGCAAATAAAATCAGAGAAGGACTTGGCAAGAATTATTTGAGTATTTGTATATCATATCTCTTAAATTTAGAATTTTTTTCAACTTTATTTATTTTTTTAACTATCTACAGTTTGAGCATCATCCATATTTGCTGTGTAAACATTGTGTTCCTACTAAAACAGTGTCATATTTATTCTAAAAATGTTATGCCTACTAGCTGCTGTCTATGCGAGGTAAGTCGGTGCTTAATAAAAAGCAGCTCTAAGTTCTCAGTATTAACTTCGAAATTAGTATATCGATCGATGCCGTTTGCAATCTTTGGCAAATTGAAGCCAATGAAGTCATTAACTAATGACCCTATTGTATTCTTTGTAGTGTATTCAAATGATATATATAATGATATATATATAAATGATATGATATTTTGTGAGTTTAGTGTCACTCTGTGTTTGTACACACACAGTAAATCGTGTTGTGATTTTTTATTATACTACCGTTTTTATTTAGGTATTTTCTGCGAATCGTTATCTAATTGCTTATTTTTAGTAAGGTATCGTATGAATATATTGGCGTTATACAGATATTATTTGAACAAAAAGGTTATGCTTTAAAGATATATTACCAAAACGCCAGGGGTCTGCGTACGAAGGTCAGTGCATTCTATAGAAATGTGTGTGTAAGTAGTTATCATATTATATGTGTTTCGGAGACTTGGTTGTTGGATGGCATTTCGGATAGTGAATTGTTTGATGGTAGGTACCTTGTTTTTCGACGAGATCGTGACTATGCTGGGTTAGGTCAAACTTTGGGTGGCGGGGTTTTGGTGGCGGTGAGGAGTGACCTTGCTGTCATATGCAGACCCGAATGGAACAGTTCGGCGGAGGACGTTTGGGTAACTTTATTGATGAAACGTAAGAGGCCTGCGATTACATATAAATTGCATATCTGTACGTTATATTTATGTAAGGAGGAGGGTGGTCATTCATACAAAGAACAACTAAATAACTTTTGTAACAATCTTAGTGAGATAATTTGTAGTAGCCCATTGGATAAATTTATTGTAGTAGGTGATTTTAATTTCGGTAATGATGTGCAATGGAAAAAGTCTAATGACGAAGTAATAATGTTGCCGGTTAACTATAGTGCGACTTATTTAACAGAATTCTTTGATCTCATTGACACATGTAATTTAAGCCAGTTTAATGGTGAATATAATCATAATAATCGGGTGTTAGATTTAGTGTTCTCAAATGACATGATAAACGTAAAAAAATGTGTTAAACCTTTGGTGCCAGAGGATCCACATCACAAGTCCCTCGATATACAGGCTGAATTTGTCGAAATTCACGAATTGAAAGAGATGGGTCAGACGAAATATATTTTCACACGGGGTAATTATTCCGCAATATCATCTGAGCTCAATTATATTGACTGGGTTGACTATTTAAGTTCAGGTACTTTAGATGATGCAGTAACTTGTTTTTATAATAAACTATATGAGCTTCGCGACAAATATATACCTCAAAAACGAATTAAATCTAATACTTATCCGCCATGGTTCAGCTCCAGTCTCATAAAGGCTATTAAAGAAAAAACTAAATATCACTCCAAGTATAAAACATACGGCAACTTGTCTGACTACCAATCATTTTCTTTGCTGCGGAAACGAGTTGATGATATTGAGAAGGCCTGCTTTGATAAGTACATTCAGCGTATTGAATCATCAATTGTTGAAAACCCTAAAGCATTTTGGTCATTTGTAAAACTGAAAAGAAATAACTTAACCTTTCCTAGTATACTGCACTATAAATCCGTGAGCGCTGACACTGGTGACGATATAAGTAACTTGTTCGCAGAGTACTTTCTTTCTACTTTCTTGGCATCAGGCCATCCCTCAGGTCAGGCAGCAGACATGAACTCTGACAGCGGTCCTTGTAGTCTGGGTTCTGTTGAGATCATTCCAACCAAAGTCCTTGCTCTTTTAAAAACACTTGATATAACTAAGTCTGGTGGGCCTGATCTGATTTCTCCTCTTTTTATTGTAAAATGCGCCGAGAGCTTGACGATACCACTTTGTGTACTGTTCAAACGATCATTATCTGAGGGAATTGTCCCTAGGATTTGGAAGTCTGCTTTCATTACCCCAGTACTTAAGAAAGGTGACAAAAGTAATGTCGAGAACTATCGTCCCATATCCAAGTTGTGCCTATTTGCTAAGGTCCTTGAAAGGCTAATCCATCTGGATGTCTATGCTAGTTTGAGCAGCTCATTTAGTGATGAACAGCATGGCTTTCTCAAGCACCGCTCCACATCCTCCAACCTCATTATTGCTAATGAATTCATTGCCGATGGTATGGAAAAAGGAGCACAAGTTGACGTAGTATACACTGACTACAAAAAGTGTTTTGATAGAATAGACCATTGCATACTACTCTCCAAACTCCATGCAGCAGGCATACATGGTAACTTGTTTCGTTGGTTTGCTTCCTATATTGCCAATCGTAACCAGGCTGTTGTCTTGAGAGGTTATATGTCACAGTGGACTGAAATACCTTCTGGCGTGCCGCAGGGGTCAATTTTGGGCCCATTATTATTCACTATTTTTATAATGGATATCAGTAAATGTTTTAGACATTCCAAATCCTTACTTTTTGCGGATGACATGAAGATTCTCAAGGTAATTAGCAGTCCAATGGATGTTTATGATTTGCAACAGGATCTTTTGCGGTTTGAACGATACTGTGCTCTGAATAAGTTGGATCTTAATGTATCAAAGTGCTTTTGTATGACATTCACACGCAAAGCCAATAAAATTGAATCCAATTATATTCTCAATAGTCAAAGTTTGTCCATAGTAAACAATATCACGGATTTAGGTGTCATTCATGATAGCAAATTAAACTTTAAAGATCATATAGATCACATTGCTAGAAGAGCTTCTAGGGCCCTTGGTTTCGTGATGCGTATGTCCAGTGATTTAAAGTCTCTGAAAACAATCAAAGTTCTGTACTGCGCCTTCGTGCGCAGTCACCTCGAGTATGCGTCGCAGGTATGGAATCCGCAATATAGTGTACACATTAAACGGTTAGAGGCGATACAGAGGCGCTTTCTGCGATTTCTCGACTATAAGGCTGGGCAACACTCTCTAGGCTATGAGCACCGGTGCAAGCGGTATCATTTTCTACCTCTTATAGTGCGTCGCGAAGTGAATGACCTCTGTTTTCTATCAAGGCTTGTTAATGGTGGCATCGATTGTCCGGAATTACTGTCGAAAATAGGTCTTCGTACTAACACACTAGCTTTACGGCGGCGCCCATTGCTTCATATACCTCTTGTTCACACAAATTACAGGCACAATTCATTCATGGTGCGTGCCTGTGAAACGTTTAACAGGCATAGCATCGATCATGACTTTGATCTGTTTGTGACAAGCACAGCGACTATTAGGCGAACTATTTGTTTGGATTACTTTGGACGGCAATAATTGTAGGTATGCTCAAACTGAACTTGTGTTTTGTATGGTTCGTTTCATTCCGGTTTGTGAGGGATGTAAACAAACTAATTGTGTTAAAGTTCTGACGCCATCACTCACTACATGGAATGAGTAATACATTACATGTGTAGTTCGTGGGTTTCTATATGGTATCTCACTACAACAATATTCAGTTCAATAACAAAAACCACATAAAAACGTAATAGAAAAATCTTTGACGGAAAGTGAGGTTATAATTTGACAATAGTTTGGATAATTTATGGTCACTAGTGGTGAGCGTAAATCAATGGTAATTGAATCAAAAGATTCATTCAATTATTGAACTGATTTTAAATTTGCAAATTTTAATTCATTCAGATCTCGTTAGAGACCCTTTTGGTTATCTTTTTTGCAGACGGGTGTGTGGCGAGCTATATAATATATTGAATATGTGTAATGTTTATATACTACTAAATATATATGTGTGATATTTGTATTATGATAACTTTTGCTTATAAATGTTTGTAGGTTTAGCATTAGTATTGATTAAGTTGTAATTTAGATATTCAATTGTGAAGGTTTGTAATAGGCTTTCCGTTGTTATTGTGTGTTATATATCATTGTTTAAGCTGTAAACCTTCCTAATATAAATAAAATAAAATAAAATAAAATAACCCTCTTGTCAGTTGCAACGACATGACGTATTTGTGGTCTGGGTGCTGCAGAATCGTGAGATAATTCAGAAATGGAGATGAGGCCATAATCGCTTCAGTGCTCGCACATGTACAGACATATACACTCACAAGCTTAGAGCCAGATTTACTTGTATTTACGAGTATTCAAATATTGTGGACATTACATTTGAGAGAAATAATGGACACATGGCACTAAAGTTTAGCAAAAAAGCATCATCGCTGAGTTACAAAGAAATAAATACACTTTTTAAATAGTCGTAAGGTAAAGTGTAAAATGCAATGAAGAATAATTCAAATTCAAATTACCGTGCGCTCGGTTGGTACCATAAATCACGACAGTTATTTAAAATATCATAGATAGAATTAACAGGTTGTTTCTATATAAGCTAAACGGGTCACTTACACGGTTTTTGACATTCAAATAATATCGCACACACACACTCATAGCCCCGCACTAGGGAAACCCTAGATAGACTACCACAAATTACACCCAAACTCACGAGAGAAGTAAAAGTAGGCCATACAAATATTTCTCCCGGCACGGGAATAGAACCCGGGACCTCTGCGTGGCAGTCCATGCAGGCATGGTAACCGTTCGGTCACGGAGGCAGTTAAAAAGTTCAAATTGCATGCAGCAGCTGTATAACATTTCAGTGGTATAACTTTTTGTGTAAAAAACTTTGTGAATGGCAAATTATTAATGTCAATGAAAGTTTTATTATACAAGAGTAAAAACTAAAGTAACCCATTTCTAGTACTACGCAAGCTTTGTAGTGCTACGAGCTACGCCCCGTAGCATTCCAGTACTATATCGGATTTCTTTCAGTTTGAATTGACTTAGCCCAGCAAATGGTCTACCATGAAGTCCAGCGACAATAAGCTAAGGAATAAGTTTATACACAGGCATAATTGATAACAAAAGCAACCTAAATACCTTTCAATGTTCGTACGAAGCCAACTCACAGTGAGCTTCGAATTATGTACAAATTTTTTTTTTCTTGCATTATTAATATATTTCTTTATTAGCACTATGTAAATGCTATTATTAGTTTGCTATAGCGAACGA